AGAAATGCTGATTTGACAGTCATACTTTTGGTGCTAAAGTGCTGCTTGGTTTCAAGTAGATTCTGTCGGCTATATTCGAGTGAAAGCGCTCGGAAGGGTCGAAATCATCGAATATGATGACCGACTGTGATTCCGATGAGGTTTGGACCGACTGGAGGGATTATTATTAGGGAATTGATTTCCGTTCTTATGCGGACTTCACCGTTGTCAGATAGAAAGAACTCCTGGGAAAGGGTTTGATGGTTAGTGTAGTATATTCTTTCACTCTCGGCTTTCAACAACTATACAATTTTTATCATCATTCTTATATATTAAGGTTAATCTGGTATCAATTCGACCTCAATTTTCGTTTATCAATAGTTCTTATCCTTATTTATATTACTCATCACTAACGTGTTAATTTCACTTCAAGGTCATTCAACTGTGAAGAATTGTGATTCGTCCCGAGCCCGAAAACGGAAAAGTCACGCAAAAAAACTCAGTTTTTTACAGGTTTTTTTGCGTGACCTTCAGCATTTTTGGGATATCTTGAAAAGGCAAGTTTATTTTTTGAAAAGAAAAAATTGAACCTGAGATAGGATTTCAAGTATCTGTGGTAAAATTTTGAGCTCGATCAGACCATTTTTTCGAGGGTCGTAGTGTGACTGGATGAAAACCAGAGTTTTCTAGAAAACCCATAGAAGAACATGGCACAAAATTCTGTGCAAAAATACTTCTATTTTCTTTTTCGATGTCATATCTCTATTATAAACTTCACCCCGATCCGACATCGGCGTCCTTGGTTTCCAAGAGGATCAAAAAAGAGGGTTACCTTTAAGAATGAAGAAAATCAATATCTTGTTGGATACCCTTTTTGTTTAATACATTCTTCTAAGCGATTTTCCACCGAATCCACCAATGTTTCTGTAATATTAGCATCGACGGAATTCTACGTATCGACAATTTTTTGTTGCAGCTCTTTCAGATTTCTTGGGGAGGTTTTTCTTATTTCTCTTTTAATGTGGTACCAAAGATGTTCACTTGCATTAAGATCGGGTGAAGACAGTGGCAAAGCTAGGCGTTGAACACGTTTGAAATCTAACCAATTACTGTCTACGCCAGATGTATGTCTGCAGAGATGGGCGATTCACCACTTTTTCGAGTCCGAGTCGAGTCCGAGTCAGCAGGCTTCGAGTTCAGGTTCGAGTCCGAGTCGCATAAAAAATTGACTCGAGTCACCTCGAGCCATTTCGAGTCATTTTCTAGTGGTAGTCTTCCTCTTGATTCATTTTTTCAAGACAGCTTACTACTCACTGCTGTTGTTTTAAGCATTCGTTTTTACTCATTCTGCTGAACACTTCCTAGTTATTCGATTACATCAGCCTTTTTCTAACTTCGCTTGTATTGTCGTTTTCTAGGTCTTCAATCCTCTCATGTGACACGATGTTCTATTAAGAATATTCTCAAATATCTCTCTCTGTCTCTCTGATAGTATATAATAAATATGTTTAACATCCTCATAATAATGTAAAGTTGCACGTGACTGACTCGAAAGTGACTCGAGTCAGTTTATCAAGATTCTCGAGTCTTTCGTCTCGAGTCCGAGTCACAGAAAAATGTGACTCGGGCTCGCCCATCTCTGTATGTCTGGGATCATTGTCATGTTGAAAAACAAATTTTGTTCCGAAACCTAATTTTTTGGCTGACGCGAATAAGCGTGTCTCCAAGGTATTTTTGTACATTTCACCCGTCAGCTTTCCTTCAATAAAAACTAATTTTCCGCCGTTTCTAGCCATACAAACCCCCTTACCACCTCCATGCTGGACCGTTGGTACAACACAACCCTTAATATAGTCTTAGCCAGGTTTTCTCCACACCATCTATGTGGATTGATATCGGACTGTACTTTCAGAAACAGACACCCCTAATTCATCTTCCAGCTTTTGATGGATTGCTTCTGCGGATTTTTTACGGTCACCAAGCATTTTACTAACAACACCAAGATTAACACTATTTGTGGTTTTCCGTTTTCAGACTCGGGACGAATCACAATTCTTCACAGTTTTCGTCCTCTTGAATTTTTCGACCACATACTGCACTGACGATCTTGGTATAAACATTGTTCCTGCTATTTCCCGTGGTGTCTTACCACTAAAATAACGCTTGATGAAAAAACGTCGAAAATCCTCCGAATAATCTTTTTTTCTCGGTGACATTGTACGTTTTCACCAACATGGAATATAACGAACTTTTGATCACTGTTTGCGTGAATGACTATACATTAAGCAGATTTCTTTCCTCAATACGGTGTGATAGAACGAGATACAAGAAATACGTACGTATCCAAAGCACATTTTTTTGGCATTATACCAATAAAATGATTTTTGAGGTCTTAATCTCAAAATAAAGTTTTTGTGATCTAGCTATCAATGAATATACTTTTGCAGCCTAAAGAGAATCTGATAGACATAGACACATGAAAAAAAAATATATCCTCCACTGGGACTTAAACCCAGGACCTTCTGGTAACAGACCAGAAGCTCGAACCACTGACGTACCAAAGCACAGTCTAAAATACATTCTCAGTTCATGTGAATGATTGTAACATCAGATTTCTGTTACTTATTCCTGTATTCTACTACATTCTTCATCGAACTACACTCAATTTAGTACAGGCCCCAGAGGTATCTGTCTATTGTTTTCGAAAATTTCGATGATTTTACTGTGTCTGAGGCTTTTAGTAAATTGAGTTCGATGAAGAATGATCATGGAGAACTCGGAGACCTGTCATTTTGTTCAGAAATGTTTGCCCTATCGAATGAAGCTGTTTGCAAGAAGTATTCGGTCAAACCTAGAGAACTGGTTTTGAGGTCTTGGTTTTCCAGAAACCCTTTCTTAGCCTACGCGCCGATGTTAGAATTCTTTTTGAATATAATATTCTTGTTCGGAATTGAATTCTCTTTCGAATGATGTAGGTTCCCACGTTTGCACCACGCTGATGGTAGGATACAGAAAGAATTATCCTCAATGATATCATTTTCGATTAAACGATGGGTCAAATCCTTCCATTTAACTTCCAGACTAGTCTTATCTTACTCAGCTTTTGATGCTCTTTCGAATAGCTTAAAATCAGAATTTTTTTTCACCCATTCATTCTCGAGATTCCGAGTCACACTGAAAAGTATAGCACTTTTGGCTTAAAGTCGAGTTTTCATCCTAAGGAAAAAGCTTTTCAAAATTATTCTTTTACCAAAGTGTAGCTCCCGCTCTCGTCTATCGATTGATGTAGTTTTCATATTTTGTCGGTGCTTACACAGCGTAACAGAGGCTTTTATCAACTGTACGCAAAAGTTTTGCCGACCGGAAGCGTTGACTTTTTGGTCTAATGAGCCTACACAGAACAACAATGAGTGTTTCGAACTTTTTTTACCTACAAATATACTAGAGAGAGCGAAGAATATTTTGGTGTAAACCGCTTGTCAAAAGCTTTTTTCGTTACCGAATTATGACCAAAAGAAAAAGAGGATAGGGGTGTACGGAAAATTTTTGCCGCCACTATATATGTTACGCATCAGAATGAATATTAGCAGGAAACAGTCTATGTCTGCAGTAATTGTTCTTACATATGAGCAGGCATTCTAACTGACGCGGAACTATGGTTAATGATAAAATATTCAACTATTTCGAAAGATCGAATCTCCGTAAAACGGATGCTTTCGAGAGTCGGATTAAAGTCGACCTTATATGTTTCACTGTCTTTATGGCGACTGAAGAAAGCATTCTTGGGAAACTTTCAATAATTCTGTGACCAGAAATTAACGCGATGCAGTCTCTGCCAACTGTTTTTTTAGAATACAAGAACAAAATGATCCTTCCTCCATATCAACCATGTGTGTATGTGTGTGTCACGGCACAATCTCAACTTCGTTTCAACATAAATGAAAGAAAAGAACAGAGAAGAAATAGAGTCCGAAGTGTTCGGGTTATCTACATGAAGCAACACACTTAACTTAAACTCTTTCCGGACACACAATACGACCTCACCTGCTTTTTGTCGTTTTATTCTGAAATAATGTTCTATATTGATAATGTGCTAGGTACTGAACTATTAATTAACTGCAGTTCTTTCGCTATCTTCATTACTTTTCCTCGCTTCCCAGGCATTCGTAATAATGATGAACCGTTTTTCAAAAAATTAAAAATTACATATTCGTAATCGAATTCTGCATCGAATGATGTATAATACTTTCGAAAAGAAAATCTTGCTCGATTTTTGAATTACATGCACCTTACCTAAAACCTGTTGATCTGACAGGAAAACCACAATGTGACTGTTTGTGGTTTTGACTATTGCATCGAGCATCGGTTGACTGTTGATGTGCTTTTCGTTCGAAAGAAGCGATTAAGATTAGAAAAGAAACACAATCAATCAATCTTTATCTTTCTCACGCACGTGCAATGGTAACACAAAAAATTCAGCTGAAATGTATATGCACTAATAACAAAGGGAACCACTAAGCAGAAAAGATTTTTTCTTACATGCAATTATTTTTTTGTTTCTATTCTCCATTCTTTTTTCTCATTTGGTTTTTACCAGCTTTATATTTCATCCGGTGAATCATATATTTCACGAAGAGCAAAAATAACATGGGATGAGTTTTATTTTTATTTTTTTTGAAAAACTGGAAGTTAAGTAACTGTGAATAGAATATATACGCGTTTGTGATCGGCTCACAGTACATTTTTCCTGCTGATAACTATTTTGAACGAGTATGACACTTTTCTCAGACAAAAACAACGTTGACGTATTTTCTCTAAGCAAAGATATTACATCGACTCCGACCATCGATACACTACTCCAAGTTGATTTAATGCAAACAACTAGTTATCATAACTTCGATGATAACATAGATACGAACGACGGTAGAAATATTTATCAAGTAGTTTGTGCTAAAAAAAGCTAAATAAGCTTCGTCGCTCGTCTTTAGCGATCGATATTATTGATTCATTCTCTCAGAATAATGTATCACACTTATCACCGATTAACATTCTTGCACAACCAAGTTCAAGCCATCGTGTTCGATACGCGTGTGATGCTGTGAGGTATATTCAAGCAGACAAAATGTCTCGGTTCAGTCATCCAACTGTCTTGGTATGATGTGCGAGTGAAATAAAATCACACTGAAAAGCGTTAAATCATTCAATTAAGTTTAGATCTCATCAGCGTGGTTTGTTAACAAAACGCGAAATCTGTTTGTTCGTGTTGGATTAACAACCATCTTACACAACGGTCATCGATTTATACATCCATATTTACTCAATGGTTCAAGTAGCGATCTTTCGATTGGACATTGTCGAGAAAACGTCATTGATAATTGTCTTTATTACATGCTCCTACCAAAAGACAATAGCCCCGATGGAAAAAGGTAGTTTTGCTATTCGCAATTTTTCAAAACATCCGCACATAGAAGTTTTATTTCAGTTTTAGGCTGAGAGTAGTCATGAGAGGGGAAAAGGATTTGAAAAACTTTGGCACTCTTCGCGTATTCGATATGCCGGGTAATGGGACGTTTTCTTAACCGATGGTAACATTCGTGTTCTGATCCTATCTTTTTAGATGCCATAAGTGATGATCGTCCAAATATACCAACTAACGCAAAAGATTTCCGCAAATTTTATCATCTCCATCAGTTTCAACTGGCATTTACTATTTGTGAAGAAATTAATGGACAAATGTTACCACAGCCTGAAACGACAGTTTATTCGATAGTCATAACTGATAGTCAGACTGAAGAATGTTAGTTACTTCACTAAGAACAGTTTTGTAGTTATATTATTCAATGTCGACTATTTAGCATCACCGATAGACAACAAAAATAGGTTAATTCATGCATATTTTCCAACAGCTGGAAGTTGCGACGGAGGTCAAGAGATAATGATTTATTTCAACTCTAAAATCACCAATGAAAACGGTATAAAAACTCCTTTTCTGACAAGCAATAACGATAACCGATCGTTTTATCTTAGAGTTTAAAGTCTATTTTCGAAGCATTGATGTCGATCATTGGTGTGTACCAGTGGAAATTAATATTAAAGATAAAAAATTGATTACGTTCAAATCGCCGCAAATAGGAACATTATACTCACCGATTCAGATAGAGATTGTTCTAGTGCAAGATGGAAAAATAATCGAAAGATTGAAGTATACGTACAATCCGAGATATCTCTGTAAGTTGTTCATAGTTGTTGTCTGTCCTGAACATAACAGAAACATATTAAAAACTCAGGTGAACAATGTAAAAGTTCTAATTTCAATTCTGCTATCACTACAACATTGTCATCATATACGCTGCATGATGGTCCACAAGCTGTATCGAGTTCTGATCAGGTAATGGCGTACATAGCGAGATACTGATTTATAATCAACATTGTAATTTTTAGCAACCATTGACAAATGGTGATAATCTGTCATATACGCCTAATTTATGTGAGTATATGGTCTTTGTAATCCAGACTAAGCTGTTTAATCTATTATTATTACTAGGTGAAACATGTCAACATGCCGAAAAATTTATTGAATCACTAGGAACATCGTTGGATAATTTGTTGAAAAGTGGAAATCACAAACAATTATTCAATGTGTGTCGACACATCATTAACAAGAATTCTGATTGTCTATTGCACAAATCAATAGAAAATGGGCATTATTCATTAGCTGCGGATCTTATTCATTGTTATCGGAATAACGGTTTAGAGCGTCGAAATGATCATGGAGAAACACCAATGCTATATGCAGCTAAATACAATTGCCTAGATTTAATCAAGTTGTTTTTACAAAAACGATTCGAATTAATTTATGACACGGATAGTCAAATGAATAATATATTCCATCTTCTCGCTCAAAATCATGTATCATCCGATACGATTGAATTTCTGTTGAATTATCTCAGCGACAAATCAATCAACATTCAACAACACTTTGATACGAAAAACTCAGAGCAAATAACACCATTAGAATTGGCTGTGAAACTAAATAATTCAGATGTGATCAAAATACTAAAATCAAGCGGACACTTTCGTAGCAATGATGGTGATGATGAACTGTTAGACAGATTGAATCTTATTCATATTACAGAGAAGCAGGGTTCCGATGACACGAGAAACCAAGTACACAGGAAATAAACGAGTGAAAAAATTATATAATGTCTTCCATTACCGTTGTTTATGTGAACAGCAATGCAGTGAAACATTTCATTTTCGTCCACATCTGTCATTTTTAAGAACGTCCCTTGACACAACGATCCCAGAACATAAATCAAAACATTGTCAGTTTGCCCAGACTTTGAAACTTATCATGATTGCATGAAGGTTGAACAATTTTTGTTCACAAGTTACAAATTTAAAAACCAGAAGGAAAATTTAGCTTTCGTTACAGGGCAAATAAAACTTCATTAAAATGCCAAGCCAATGAGGCTTATTGTTTAAATGCGTGATACAATCAGAGATCGTTGCCAAATTTTTGACAAAGACTTTACGAAAATTAGGTGAAAAAGTAAGGTGCAAATAATGCAAAAAGGGAGCAGAATTTGTTTTTTGTTCTCTCTGCTATAGTTGGATAGAGCTCATCGAGTTAGATAGAAAAAGGTGTACCTGAGACTTTCTGAAGTCATTTTTGGGTAAAAAATTTTCAAAATATTGATTTTTAAAAAGAGACAAAAATACATGAAATTCTGAGAAATAACCAAAATTTTCATATTTATTCCTGATCTATCATTTTGAACCTAATTTTTTCTGATTCGGCATGCAAAACTAACTATAGAAAGCCGAATTCGACAGTTTTCGTAGTTAAAATGGAGTCGGATTTTGAGAAACCCGAGTAGAACCAGAAAAGAGCCTCTGTTCATCTTGCAAACGTATCTAGTTTTTCGGGTTAAGAGA